TTTTTCCCATAAATTTCAGAAAAGGAAGAGGGGGAGGTTCCCTGTACTTCTGTTCTAGATCAGCTCTGCCCTCTAGGACCCTGGAGATGGCTTGGTGTCCTAATGTAAGGCAGCCCTCTGGTGCAATGACATATGCCAGGTGGGTAGTGTGTTGGAATGTGACATTATCTGGCATTAGTGAGTTACTCAGAAGATCAGTTCACGTGGGGATTACCATCATAGTGGGAAGGTGGCACAGCGGTGGATTGTGACATTTACATGTTTCTTTATTAGACTGCTATGAGCAAAAGCAGAGCCTGGAGCCCACACAGAAAAAAAAAATTATAATCACAATACCTCATTTGTGTAGATATTTATGGTTACAGGAGACTATTACGCACTATTTCAGTTGATCTTCGAGATACCCACTGTGAGGTAATTGGAGTAGATAGGAGAATTCCTAGGCAACAGATGAAACTGGGTTTCATAGCTGTGAAACAAAATTTACCAAGCTCACACAGTTATTAAGCTCTTAAGTGTCTGATCATATGAGTTCAATTAAAGCACCCCTCTCCCTGTACTGAGGTGCCCTAAAAGACTGAGTGTGGCAGTCCCCATTTCCCAGGACTCAAGGTTAGGTGGAGGGTCTCATTGAAACAACTAGGAGGGGTGCAAGAGTCAAGGTGGGGTGACTATAGTAGAAGACATGCAATTGCAAATTTGAGCTCCAAGCCTGACTTTATTAAGAATACCAGACTGACATTATTATTCCATTCCCTCCCCCCCCCCCCACTCAGGGTTACTAAACCAGTAAGTATGGAAAATGTTGACAATTTACCTAGGCAAACTTACTGGGCAGCAAGGTGGTGCAGTAGAGTAGTGGATCTTAGTCTTTAGTTCGAATCCATCCTCAGACACTTACTAAGTGTGTAACCCTGGGTCCCTTAACCACTGTCTGCCTCAGTCTCCTCATCTGTTAAATGGGGATATTAATAGCATCTTCCTTTTGAGGTTGTTGTGAGGGTAAAATGAGATAACATATATAAAGCACTTTTCAGACCTTAAGGTGTTATTTAAATGCTACCTATTATTATTATTATTTACCTATATTTTAGCCAAGTATTTAATAAAGTACCTCAAGTTATTCTTGTGCACAAGATAGAGATATATGGGTCAATATAATATATAATAAAATAGATTTGGAACTTATTGACTGTCCAAATTCAAGTAATAGTCATTAATAGTTCTGTCAACTCGAAAGGAAGCCCCAGTATCTATGATTTCATGGTATAGGAAACTTTGGGTGAGGAAACTCCTTTTATTAAAGCAGATCTGTTTCTTCTGAAACTGTTCTTTTTCTCATTTCTTATGGTGCAATAATACTTCATTCATGTACTGTAATTTATTTAGTCATTCTCCACTTAATTTCCAGTTTGGGGCTACTATGAAAAGAGGTGATATAAATCCTTTTGTGCATATGAATTCTTTCATTTTTTATCTCTTTGAGGAATAGGAGGCACTTAATACCTACCTGTTTGCTTGACCTGAATAATTAAGTATTGTGATAATTTAGAAAAAATATCAGAGACCCTTTAAATTCATAGCAAATCACAGAATTTGAGGGTTGGAAGGGACCCTAGCCAGCTAGTCCAATCCATACATGAAAGGAATCCCTATCAAAACATATCTAACAAGTGGTCATCCAACCTCTGATTGAAGACTTGGAAGGAGAGAGAACCTACTGCCTTTTGAGACAGATCATTCCTCTTTTAGACAGCTCTAAGTTTTAAGAAGGTTTTTTCCCCCAGCAAACCTCAAACCTAAATTAGCTTCCACCTGTTTCTGAGGCCAAATACAGCAAGTCTAATCCCTTCTTCATGTAACTGCCCTATTGCATACCTGAAGCAGCTTTCGTGTCCTCCCACCCCACCTCAAGTCTTCTCTATTACAGGCTAAACAAGCCCAGTTCCTTCAAGTGATTTTCATATATCAATGACTGAAGGATCTTTATGATACTGATTAATCTCTTCTGGACACTCTAATTTACTCTTTTTTTTTTTAAATTTACTCTTTCTTAAACAACAACAAACACAACACTCCAAATGAGGTCAGATGAGGGAGGTACTCTCTCAGCTCCCTGTTCCTGGAAGCTATATTCTTCTTGCCTCAAGTTTCTCTTCCAGTCTATCCTCCTCTAAGGTGCCAAAGTGATTTTCCTAAAGCACAGGTCTGAACACCTCATCCCCTTACTTGATAAACTCCTATGGCTCCCTATTACTTCCAGGATCAAATATAAAATCCTTTGTTTGGCATTTAAAGTTTTTTACAACCTGACCCCTTCCCATCTTTCCAGTCTTCTCACATTTTATTCCCTTCCACACTCTGTAGTGGCCTACTGGCTCACACACAATGTGATCTTCCAACTCTCTGTATTTTCATTGGTTATCCACATGCCTAGAAATGCTCTTCCTCTTCATCTCTGACACCTAGCTTCCCTAACTTCCTTTAAGACCACCTTCTGGGCTCCTCTCATTGGTTCTAATTCTTCTTTATAACACGACTAATGTGGGGGAAAAAAAGACCACCTTCTATAGGAAGATTTCTCTCCTCTTCCTATTTCCTGTTCCATTTTTTTTTTTTTGGTGAGGCAATTGGAGTTAAGCAACTTGCCCAGCGTCACACAGCTAGTGAGTGTTATGTGTCTGAGGCTGGATTTGAATTCAGGATCTCCTATGTCCAGGGCTAATGCTCTATTCACTGTGCCACCTAGCAACCCCTCTATGTTCCTTTTATCTGAGGTTAGCTTATACTCTCTCCCTCTGTCTCTATCTCTCTGTTTCTGTCTGTCTGCCTGTCTCTCTCTCTGTCTCTCTCTGTATATATTTACACACACACACACACACACACACACACACACACACATACACGTAATGTATATTTCCAACCATCTATCCATTCTTCCATCTAATGGACCCTGTTCTTTGCATGTTGTTTCTTCATTCCAATTCATCCTCCATTCAGTCACCAAAGTGATTTTCCTAAACTGTAGGTTTTACCAAGTCACCCCCACCCCAAATTAATAAGGTCCAATGACTCCCTATTCTCTCCAGTATCAAATAACAAAATCCGTTGTTTGGCATTCAAAGCCCTTCGTAAGCTACTGACCCTCCCCTCCCCTTCACTTTCTAGTCTTCTTACATGTTACTTACCACTATGCACTCATCTCCATCTAATGACTTCCCTGGCTTCCTTCAAATCACAACTAAAATTCCATCTTCTATAGGAAGCCTTTTCTAACCCCTCTTAATTCCAATGCCTTTCTTCTGTTATTTTTTCCCCCTGTTTGTTTTGTCTATAGCTGGTTTATAAATATTCGTTTACTTGTTTTCCTCATTAGATTGTGAGCTCCATGAGGATAGGGACTATCTTTGGCCTCTTTTGGTATCTCCAGTGCTTAGCAGAAAGTAGGCACTTAATAAATGTTAATTGACTGACAGTTAAGGAAACTGAGGTAGGCAGAGGTTAAATGATTTGTCCAGGCTGGATTTGAACTCAGGTCTTCTGATTCTAGTCTCAGATCTTTGTCCAGTGTATTATCTAGCTTCTTCTTACTCCTGCGATAATGGTAACTATCTGAATGGGTTCTTCTTTTTGCCTTGTCTACTGCTACAGTCCAAAGACAGATAAGTAGAGGCTCCCCAGAGACACCCCCTTTACCATGGTTATTCTTGGATAAAGCTTACACTGGGATCTCAACTTTTTGGGAACCACACAATTAGCACAAAAGTTTAACCAGAGAATGAAGTCTCAAGCTATTCTGGTTTGTGGCTGTGACAGTGAGTGTCATACCCAGTCCTAAGAATCCTGAGTCATTATTCCTAAGCAGGACAAAGGTCTTGCTTTTTTGCATCTTATTTTAGTAGGATCATAGTGGTTGGTCTTAATAAGTAGGGCTGTTCCTTTCTAAGTGTTATCTCACATACAAGATTTGTTATGACTTCAGGAAGTGTGATTATAGGCAACTAACTCTTAGGCTACTAATAAATGTCTTCCTTGCCTGAAGTTTGGCCATTTTGTCCTTGGACCAGTAGCATAAGAGTCTTTTTAATAGATGATGTGAAAATAATCAATTAATACCAATTCAGGAGGAGGAATTAATTATTATAGTATCTTCCATATGGAAAATCTGGTTTCTTTCTATTTTAACTAGTTATTGTTGCTAACTAAGTATGAAGTTTATTTATTCCTCCTCTACTGAAAGAGTGCATTAAATTTTTGCATCTCTAAATTTTGGTGCCTTGAACTGAAGCCCTGGTAACCACACCTTATTTCTGCCTCTATTTAGAATTTTGCACATAATTTTCAGTGACAATCTAACTCTAAGAAAGGGAGGTACAGCTCCTCTGACTCTTCCTGTGGTATTCTCTATTGAAGTCTTGCTATACAGGATGTGTATAGCAAATGTGTCTCAAGTTGCCTCATTTCCTGACAAGTTCCTTTACTCCACAGTTCCCTATTCACAGGTTTATCAGAAACGTGGTATTATAAAATACAATAAATAAATATGTTTCATTTATGTTTTTATTTTATCATAGCTTTTACGTTTTTTATTTTATGTTTTATTTATGTTTTAATTCTTTCTTGTGTTTAAGTAAATAAATGTTTATTGATTGGTAATCCAGCTTTGCAAGTACTAATAGAAAGTCAGCCTATAATTAGGCAGTTGTGTTTTGTCAGTACAACCCTTTCTCTGTGCATAGTCATGGATAAAACTCACCCTGGTGATCTCAACCTTATGTTTTACTGACAACCATACATTTAACAGAAAAGTTTAACCAGAGCATGGGGTCTCAAGCTTTTCTGGTTTGTGGCTGTGATATTAAGTGCCAAACCCAGTCCTAAGAATCCCAAGTCACCATTCCTAATCAGGACAAAGTTCTATGGTAACACACACACACACACACACACACACACACACACACACACACACACAATAATACAATTGGATTTGTTGCAAAGAATGATTTCAAACAGTAGGTACTTTATTCTAGGCAAGGTAATGCCAAAGATACTGAAGATACCTTTTTAGTAGCCATTACAGTAGGACTGAATTTGTGTCAACTAATTGAAAAGGAAGACTTAGGGATTTATGTGTTTATTCAGCCAGTCAATATATTTGGAGACCCTTGTGTAAACCCCATAGTGGCCCACAGATGCACAACCTTCCCCCCAGCTGACAATCCCAGTTAGATACCACGTGCCCATGTACTTGGTGGCATGGGGCCCTCCACTGTCCCCCTTGCAGGAATCTTTTGTTCCATTCAGGAAGCCTGCACAGAACATGTTCTCAGTAATTTCAGGCGATCGGGAAGTTCTCTTTATTTGCTGGAGACAGTCCTGGGTCTTTAACCGGGGCACCTCAATTATCATGAGCTCTAAAGAGGTGGCCCCCCTGTCCAGGAGCTGGCCCCAGCCACTCACTGAGGAAAACCTGACATCGGCCAGATGGTCCTCAGAGAATCTCCTCTCAGGCAAGCAGAGGGGCACCACGTAGTCTGTGAAGTTTATGGGCTTTTGTAGACGCATCAGGGCGATATCATGGTTGATTTTCGATCGAATGTACCGCTCATGAATAATGACTTCAGCAACTGGGCTCTTTTGTTCTGTCCCTTCTTCTTTGTCTATTTCATGCTCACCTGGGAGGGAATTAAGTGACCTATGTAGCATCTTTATGAGTTTCTCTGCCTAAAGGTCAGTATTTCTATAGCTTGACACATTTCCTTACTTGCATGGGCTTTAGACGGTGGTTGAGTTGTAAAGGACTCTTCTCAAGACATTAGAAGTAATTTGTATATTCTCTTCAGGGAGAAGGTTGCAGACATCTTTATGTGAATTAAGTCAATGAAATCCCCTCCCCCCCAAATCATTTTGTATTTACTTCCAGAACAAAGGAAGCATTTTAAAAATGCTTGTTGAATGACTAATATGTAAATGCTTTACATGATTGCACATATATAACCTATATCAAATTGCTTATGATTTTAGGGAGAAGGGAGGGAAAGGAAGAAGAAAAATTTGAAATTCAAAATTTTATAAAAATGAATGTTAAAATTGTCTTTACATAAAATTGGAAAAAATAAAATATTACTTAAAAATGCTTGTTGAATTGGATTTGTATATATTTTGCATAGAATTATATATGCTCAGAGGCAGTGTGGTATACTGGAGAGAGAGGTAGCTGGAGCCAGGAAGACCTGGGTTCATGTCCTGCCTCAGATATGGACTGACTGTGTGATTCAGAACAAGTCACTGGACATCTCAGTGTTCTAGGCAGCTCTCTAAGACTCTAAGTCTGCAGAGAAGTGCTGACCTATACTGACCAAAGGAGGTCCTCACTAACCCAAAGAAATCACAAGTCTGTTCCCTATCTACCTGACCCTTTACTTATATATGTACATATCATATTTGCCCAGTAGAATATCTTTTCTATTTGCCTAACTGTATTCTGGGCCTTTTTATATGCAGTTACAGTCAGTCCGAAGTACAGAGGGGAATTTTGGTGCGCTCTTTAAAAAAAAAAGATCAGTATCACTTTCTTTTATTTTCAGTACTAGATTTTGTCCCTCTGCCAATCGCCTCTCCCCCAACTGAGAAGTCAAGAATTACAAAACCCACTTGGCTCACTCTTTACATGTGAAGTAGACAAATTTTGTCTTCAAGTCTTTCTTCATGCCTCTTTCTTTACCTCTTCCTCTGTTTGCTTTAATTGCTAAGCTATCAATTAGGTAATCTAATGAGCCAATCTGTGCTAACAGGATTTTATTTGTATAATTTTTATACACATTTATAAGTTTATAATATATGCATATATACATATTTATATTATATGTGCATATAACATATACATATGCATATATATACACACATACATATATAAATACATAAAATTATATATATAAGTTATATATGTGCATGTACATATAAAAATAAATGTACCTATATATGCATATATATTGGTGTGTATACACACATATGCATACATATTATATGTATACACTTTAGTGGTAGCCTTTGGGAGGCAATGCTTTCTTAATCTAATTAAATTAAGGCTAGGTAGGAGGAAAGGAAAACTCACAGAAATTTTTGGGGACAGATAGCATCTTTAAGTAGCTCTGGAGTCATATAGGTGGTGGCTCTGCTATTGGTCTGCCCATTTGTATACATTTTTTGCCCAAATGGCTTTCAAGGTTCTATTAGCAGCAAAAAGGAAGGAAATTTATTCTTAAGGGAGTAAATCTTTTTACTCCTCTATTGAAAGTTTATTATGTACTATTGTGCTATATATGAGAAATAACAAGCAGGATATTTTTTTAGAAAAACCTGGCGAGACTTAGATGAACTGATGCAAAGGGAAGTGAACAGAACCAGGAGAACATTGTATACAATAACAGGAATATTGTACAATGATCAACCGTGAATGACTTAGTTCTTCTCAACAATTTAATGATCTAAGATAATTCCAAAGGACTTATAATGAAAAATGTTACTCACTTCCAGGTAAAGAACTGATGGAGTCTTAATGCTGATTGAAGCGTACTTAAAAACATTCTTAATTTTACTTTTTTTCCCTTTCGGTCTGTGTTTTCTTTTGCAACAAGACTAATATGGATATGCTTTGCATGACTGCACATGGATAGCTGTTGAATTGTTTTCAGTTGCGTCCTATTCTTTATTACCCCATTTGGGGTTTTCTTGGCAAAGGTACTGGAGTGGTTTGCCATTTCCTCCTCCAGTTCATTTTACAGATGAGGAAACTAAGGCAAACAGAATTAAGTGACTTGCCCAGAGTCACATAGGTAATAAATATCTGAGGCTAGATTTGAACTCAAGATGAATCTTCCTGATTCCAGACCCAGCACTCTATCCACTGCACCACCTAGCTGCTAGAGGGGCCTACTTTCAGTGAGTTGTCATCTGACCCTTTAAATCCTAGAAGTCCCTATAGGGGCTGACATTGCAATGATATCTGCAATATCAGTTTCCAAGCAACTTCAGGTTAGTATTAAAGCAACCAGAGCCTCTGGCTTTCCTGCAACACTGCCTTGCCTGCTGTTCTCTGACATCCTGACCTAGTCTCCTGGCCTAGTATCCTTGGATGCTCTACCTCAGGCATCTTGGATCTGATCCTATTGCTTGTACTTTAACCCACTTAATGCTGAATGTCCTTTGTCACTGAACAAACTTAGTTCACTTCTTAGTGGTATTGATCAGAGATCTGGTCCTGGTGTTGCATAGAACACTGAGGGGGAAACTTCATATAAATTCCAGGCATCTCATTCCCTATCTATAAAATAGGGCTATTACTACTCCTCATCTACTTTGTTTAAGGGACGCAATGGTAGATGTGATATTCTTTGTGTATAGTTAATTGTGTCAGGAAAATTAAAAGTATTATTGTTGATAACCATAACCATACTGATTCCACTTCTAATCCTATCTCCCCAATACCTAATGAAGCCAACAAGAGATGGACAGTTCTACTACCTGATCCATATGTTCATAAAGCAAATGTCATTATGAAAATTATCACTAAAAGTGAATTATGGACACAATCCTATTTGTTACAGCAAACTAAAAATTAATTGTAATTTAATATTTTAAACACAGATCTAAGGAAAATGATGGAAATACCTACCGAGTATGACCATCAGGCTTCCCCATAAATGGTGAAATAATTTATCAAAGCAGTGAGCAGCAGAGACAACCCACGTATTGGTAAGCAGAGTACCACCACATAGCAATTCATTTTTCACCAATATCAGAACCTGTTCAAAGAGCAAAAAAAATTTTTTTTGAAAAGATGTATTATTTCTCCTTACCTGGGAACCTCTAGATTGCTCTTTGAGTTTATTAGTTTTTTTTAAAATGGAAAGATTGGGGCTTGATATGGCCTTCCCCCAATCTCTATTTTGGTCCAAATTCTGTACAATATGCCTTAATTTGGCAGCAGCCCTGCTACAAGCAGTAGATGTTTCTCAGAATTAAAGAATGGTCTTCTAGAAAAAAAATAAATAATAAATAATAAATAAATAATAAAAGCAGACTGTGAAGGAAAGGAAGCCCATGATGACTGGCTAGCTATGGAGAGCTTTCATTTCAAGTGAGATGGAGGATCATGTCAGAGACAACTTCTTAGAGAAGTTAAGTGAGTTACTGGAAGAAATAGACAGCAAACTATACTAGTGGGGGACTTCAACCTCCCCTTCTCTGAACTAGATAAATCTAACTACAAAATAAACAAAGAAGTTAAGGTGAATAGAATTTTAGAAAAGTTAGATATGATAGACATCTGGAGAAAATTGAATGGGGAAAGGAAGGAATATACCTTTTTCTCAGCAGTATATGGCACCTACACAAAAATTGACCATGTATTAGGGCATAAAACCCTCAAAATCCAATGTAAAAAGGCAGAAATATCAAATGCATCCTTTTCAGATCATGATGCAATAAAAAATAAATGTAATAAAGGGCTATGGAAAGATAGATGAAAAATTAAATGAGTGGGATGCTATACCACTTGGTTCACATATGCTTAGTATTGATATTACTTCATTGTCTGTGGTACCTTTTAGCAAGGTGTCTTTTCCTTTCACGTCTCTTTTAATTAGATCTATTTTTGCTTTTGCTTTGTCTGAGATCATTATTGCTACCCCTGCTTTTTTTTACTTCAGCTGAAGCACAACAGATTCTGCTACAGCCTGTTTCTTGTAAACAACAAAATAACCAGTAGGATTCTGGTTTTTAATCCTCTCTATCTGCTTCCATTTTATGGGAGAGTTCATCCCACTCATATTCACAATTATGATTACTGTGCATTTCCCTTCAGCCTATTTTCCCCATTTGTACTTTCTCTCTCTCTCCCCTTTCACCCTGTCCCTTCTCACCAATGTTTTGTATTGGACTACTGCCTCCCTCAATCTACCCTCCCTTCTATCAGCCCCTCCCTTTTCTTTTTCCCTTCCCCTTCTATTTCCCTATAGGGTGAGATAGATTTCTTTATCCAGTTGAGTGTGTTATTCCCTCTTGAGCCAAATCCATGAACTTTATGAATATTATTTGATTTTATCCTCACAACAGCCCTGGTACTATTATTATTCCCTTTTTATAAATGAAGAATCTGAGGCCAACAGAAACTAAGTGACTTGCCCAGGATCACACAGCTAGTAAGTATATGAAGCCAAATTTGAACTAAAATCTTCTTGAATCTAAGAAAAACACTTTAGACACTTAGCTGTCCATGTAATAGGTACTCAAATGAATGTTGGGCATTTGATTGAATGACTCATCCCTGGATGAAATGCCTCACTTTATCGTAGGCCTTAGAATCATAGGCCTGAGCATAAAGAATATAGTTAACAAAGGTAGAAGAAGAGAAATAGATATAGAACAGAAAATTCCCAGTTAATATGGAAATGATGTAGGCAAGTGTGTTTTGGCTTGTGAGTGGGAATAAAAGTTAGAATGATGGAGAAGGGAATTTATTTACTCTACATAAGAAAGCCTTGATTAATCCAACATCAGGGAATCTATTAGAAAAGGCTTGCAGTGAGGAATGATGTACCAGATCATGGAACAAATCTTGAATTTACCTGCCATGGACATTCTCCTTTAGGGCATGTATAACCACCTACAATTCTGCCTTCTGGAATACTTCCATTTCTCTTTTCCAAGATTGGTATTCTCCCACAGGGATAGTCAACTGAATGGAACATGAACCAAGAACAAATTAGCAGTTTAATCATAAGGAACAGGGGACTAGGATGTCACATACTGTATTGACAAGAGGCAATAGCGGAAAGAGCAGTGAATTTAGAGCCAGTTGATAATGTTCCATCCTGGCTGCACTGCTCAGAAACTGCATAACCCTGAATTCAAATCTCAGCACTTCCCTTCCTGTGGTAATGAATCTGACTATAGCTGGAAGGAAACTAGTCCTAGCCCTTCGTTTTAAAGATGAGGAAATTGAAACCCAGTGAGGTTGTGATTTGCCCAAGGTCACATTTGTTGCTGTTGTTCAGTAGTGTTCAGCTGTGTCTGACTCTGTGACCTCTTTTGGGGGTCTTCTTGGCAAAGATACTGGAGAGGTTTACCATTTCCTCCAGCTCATTTTACAGATGAGGAAACTGAGGCAAACAGGGTTAAGTGACTTGCCCAGGGTTACACAACTTGTAATTGTCTGAGGCTGGATTTGAATTCAGGAAGAGGAGTCTTCCTGACTCCAGGCTTGGCAGTCTATCCACTGTCCACCTATCAGTCGCATGTAGTTAAGTACTATAAGCAAAAAGAATTAAGGAACATTTTTATTTGCTGTTTTGATACCTTGAACTCCTCAACTTACACCTCTGAATCTGGAAGTACAGGTCATCACTGATTTTTCCCCCATCTAATAGAATGAATGAATGAAAAGTGTTCATTATGTCCTAACTATATTAAGGCTGGGGTTACAAATACAAAAGTGAAGATAGTCCTTGCCCTCAAGGCTCTTATATTGTAATGAAGGAAACAACATATATAGGGAAATGGTGGCCAAGGAGGGATATTTTGGTTTTATTTTACCGGGGTGGCAAGTAGAACCGTAGGGGAGCAGAAGGAGAGAGATATTTCCTCCATTGTGCTTGAGGAAAGGGCAACAGGTAATAGCACCAAGGATTTGTGGAGGGAGGAGGGGAAAGAAATAGAGCCATTCCTATGGTATCACTCCTGTTGGAGCCATCCTCCTGATACTAAAGTTGGCTGTGTTCTGATAGCTTTAACAGGCACAATGCTGGTAGAAATGTATTGGGATTACAGTTGAATTTTTCAATAGAACCAAACCAGGCGTGGGAGGTGGAGTAAAGAAACCAGTAAGGGATGAATGGGCAGGGTTCTACTCTCTAATCCCTGAGTCTGGATCCTGGCATTTTTTTCCCTAGGAAAACTGTTCCTTTTTCTGAAAAAGCGATGCTTGAAACTTTGGTAAAAAGTTGTTTTTAAATTATGCAGCAATCTGAGAATTGAATAATACTTGATACATATAATCAGTAGTGTAATAAAATTATTTTGCTGTTTTGATGGATTGGTTTGTCCTTTCATCTCATCAGTGAAAGTCTTTGAGTGATTTGTGTTCCAAACCTTTTGCTTGGAACTTAGACCATACTTTTCCCCTTAAATACAATGTTAGATGTGGAGGCTAGCCAAATTTAATCTACCAAAATGCCAACTTAATCTACAATGTAGTTGAAATAGTAATTCTAATTATTTATAGCATGTCATAAATATTTATAGCAAAATATAATACCACTTATAGTTAGCATTTTAAGGTTTGCAAAGCAAAGATATATATATATATGTGTGTATATATATATATATGTACACACACACACACACAAACACACATACATACATACACATATTCACATTTGATCCTCACTGCAGCCCTGTAAACTAGGTGCTATTTTTACCCTAATTTTGCAGATGAGGAAACTGAAGCTGGGAGAGGTTAAGTGTCTTGCTCTGGGTCACTCAGCTAGTAAATAATCTGTGGCAGAATTTGAACTCAGGTCTTCCTGATGCCAAGTCCAACACTATTCACTTTGCCACCTGAGTGCTGACTTTTAGTAGTAGCCCTTGGTCCTTCTGAGTCCTAGCTCTACTGAACTGAATCCCTTCCTCTTTTTCTTTGGGGGAGAGGAGACAAAAGGCAGATCACTTAAAGCCTGGTTGATGTTCTGACAAGTGGGAGCTCTCATAGCATCACAATAAGTGGGGAATTGACTTAACACAGCAGAAGAATGCTCAGGGAGCTGGGCTCCCTATGGTGATAGTATGGGTCAGACATCAAGAAGGTATGACAGCTGTTGGTATTTACCAACCTCAAAAGTCTAGTCATCCTAAGTCCCAAACTTCAGGCAAGACAAAAGCCAAGTAATGAAAAACTGGGAGATGGGTCAGCTTCAGAGTCAGAAGGTCCTGGATTCAAATCTTGTCTGTGACACACAGTGACTGTGTGACCCTGAGCAAGTCACTTAATAGCTCAATATCCCTAGGCAACTCTCTAAAATCACCTGCAGTCTGTTGACAGTTTTAACTCCCTTTCAGATTTTCAGCCCCAAAGCCCATTGGTCATTCCTGTGTTCTAGCAGAAAGAAAGACTGTGGTGAATGGCCTGCTCATAAGAGGAATGTAACTTAGTGAACAGATGCTAGGCAGAAACAATTCTCTGAGGAGGAGTTTCTGGTGAGACTGAAAGTGGATTCATACCTACTGGATTGCAGGATACTCCATCTGGGGCCAGAGCATAGCCCTGATCACAATAGCAGTGGTGTGTGGTGTTAGGGTTATCAGTGCAGTACTGGTGACAGCCACGGTTGTCAGCTTTGCAGATGAGCAAGCTATTTTTGCCTGAGAACATGAAGGGAATATGTGAGTTCAGCACACTACTTTGGATCAAGGAGAGCCAGTCTTGGTCACTTCTAAATCTTTTGTGGCAAAGGGAACATGGATTTCCCTTTAGGGAGCTGGTTCACTGTTGTTATCCTAGAGAATATGCTGACTACAACCAGGGATATGCTGGAGCCAGTTCATAGCAGCTGGCAAGAGCTGGTTGTTAAATTTTCATTGTGAGCATTTATATCTCAGAAACCAGTGAAGGTTACTCATCAGGACTTGATTTATTCTGTTTGTTTAGACTTAAGAAAGTAATGGATAAAATGTTAATAATGCAAAATAAACTTAGCTCACTTAAAGTATGTCCTCCATATGTTTTCCCTACCCCATCCCCTCCAACAAACCCAGGTGGTTGTTAAATATTTACAAACACACTTGCAACCTACATCTATCTGGATTGATAAGACCCAGGCAAGATCTGGACACATGAGTATTAAGATGACTAGAGAGAGCTCAAAATAGTTCCCTAGCATGAGAGCACAGTTCGATGGTGAGGAGCCAGCTCACTGGGAGCACAGCTTACACACAAGAACCTCTCCAACAGGCAGATGGTTCCCTGAATGTTCTAGTTTGACCGAAGGATTCCAGAGACTTCTTAGTGCAAAAATAGCCTATACAATTATCCCTTCCACATCATGACTTTCCCTGTAGCAGTTTCGCTATATTGCTGGTCGGCATAAGAAATTAAATGGGAATTTTGGGGAGTTTTGCAGACTAATGAAGGCTACCAGATGACATAGAACCTATGACCAAATACTTACCCCAAATTTTATAATAAGGTACCTTAAACACTCCATAAAAGAAAAAGAAAAAATTTAGATTTCTTCTCTGGTACAAAGGGAGAGCCAAAAATTTTTATGTGGATTTTCCAGATCCAACGGTGGGGAGAGGTGGTATATATGTGCTATACCCTATTCCCCCTTAATGTGGAAGGGATAACTGTATAGAAAAATGAATCAGATATATCAGAGACCTAGATAAGTGAGATCCAGATCAATGAAGTTGTTCTATAATAATGTCCCCTTCTCTTGATGATAATAATAATATTATTAATAACAATAGCTGATGTTTATATAGTACTTTAGATGCCTAATTTGATCCTTATAACCAAACTTTGGGGTAGGTAGGAGAGTTATTAATTTCCCTATTTAACAGATGAGGAAATTGAGGCTTAGAGGGGTTAAATCATATAGCTATTGTCATCCATTTAGTTAAAAGATTCAAACCCAAGTCTCACCTGGCTCTTAAGTCAAAGCCTCTTTCTACTATACCACATTGTTTTGACAGAACAAATGGGGAACAATTGTTTGTTCTAATAGCATCTCAGAAGAGGAAATTCCTATCCGGTCTGGCAGGGGCCACTAGGGTATGTGTCCTACCCATGTCTCATTGTGGTCACTCTCTAAGAGCAACATTCTAGGGGACGGTATTTATACTCTGTGAAGAAGGAAGTGCATACTATAGTACATCTCTAGAGCAGTCAATGGTTTAGGGTAATAATGCCTGACTTGTTTCACAGTTCCTGCCCTCAAACTCCACAGGGCAGAAGCAGACGTAGGATTGGAACTGATCAGCACAGGTTCCTCCATTCTGGCAGGGATTTGAAGCACATTGGTCCTCATCTGTAGAAACAGGGGGCATGAGAGAATTTGTTGAGGAGGAGGTTGTAGGTAAAATGAAGAGGTGAGCTACAAAGATATTCTGTTGACCAACTTACCACTGTACTGAATCCAAAATTGTTTCTGAGAAAAGAAGAGGAGATACCTTGTAAGGCAGAGGTCCACTGGATATTAAGTATTCATTGTTTTCACACAGTGAGTTCTTGTTCACATTGGCTGCCGTAGAGACTTAGGCATAATCTTTGACACACTCATTCTTTTTTTCTCTCTCAGAGAGATGGAAACCTGTGTGTGTGTGTGTGTGTGTGTGTGTGTGTGTGTGTGTAGAGAAAGTGTATTGCTTCCCAGAGATTAAGTGGACAATTTATCTTCTTTCTCTAGTAGATTGTAATCCCCTTGAGAATAAGAACTAAATCTTATTCACCTTTATATCTACAGGGGCTAAGTACACAGTGCTTTCTACAAAGTAGATGCTTAATAGGGTTTATTAAACTGAATTGAATTCTCTTCTGGAGTCCTTGATGGCCACTAAAGGCAACACATGCTAATGGAAGGAGGAAGGGCTGAATAGTGCTCTCTACAAAGTGGATGCTTAATAGGGGTTTATTAAATTGGATTGAATTCTCCTCCCCAGAATCCTTGATAGCCATAAGAGGCAACATATACAAATGGAAAAAGGAGGGGCTGGATAGTCCTAACTCTGTCTCTAAGGAGCTGGGAGACATTGCATCATCGTATGATTTGATTTTTGTCAGCCTCACCTATGAAATAAAAATACCTGCTCTCTTCATCCTATAGGATTACTCAATGCATCACAGAATTCCAGAATCCTGGAATCAGAAGGAATCTTAGAGGTCATTCAGTCTGGTGTCTGCCCAATGCATGAATTCTGTTTATAATATCCTTAAATAAGTGACTAATCTCTCCTCTTTGAACCTCTCTAGTGATGGAGAGGTCACTATCACACCAAGCAGCTCATTCAATTTTGTAATAGTTCTAATTATTAGGAAATTTTCCCTCATATTGAACACAAATCTACCTTCTAATAACTTTCAACTGTTGGTTCTAGTTCCTCCGAGTCAACTAGGCATAGCAAAGTTACTAATGAAATCATAGATATAAAATGTTTGAAAAAAATTAAGAACTATACATGTGCAAAGGATTAATATCATAAAGACCTAGAAAGTGAAACTACTTCTTCCTTTACAGAATCACTTTATGTATGAATCAACTGGGTATGGCATAAAGCACAGTTGATGAAGAAACAAACCTAATAAGGATAACAAGTAACAAGACAGTATTGATTTCTAATTAGTTAATTAATAATTTTCTTTGAAAACATTTCTTAGTACAATTTTTCATAAGCTTATTATGCCAGAGATCAACGTGACTGTTTTTGGGTGTAATTTAGCAGATGATGGCATGCTAACATTTAGGAGATTCTCACATATTTATTAAAGAATAATTACAAGACAGTCTGCTGACCCATTATAAACATGTTATGTAAGTATTATTAGTTATGTAAGTTATATTAGTTATATAAGTATTATTATTATATAAGTTACATAAGTATTATTAAGAAATATAACACTCTTTAAAAACAGCCTATTTTTCCACTACAAGAAGGATACAAAACTGTAGATCACTATTAATATTCCTAGCAAGCAGGAAGAAAGATTTCTGAAATTTGGCCAAGGAAGACAAATTCTAAGAATGCTGAATGAACTACCAACATTTTCACCCATCTTCCAGTTTGGGGACTCTGTAGTTAACTGATTGTGGTGCTACCACATCTTGCTACTGGATCTCACAGGCTTACTTCCCCTCCCCACCAAACATCAAAGAAAAGGTTCATTTTCCTTGAAGAACAAAGGTACATTCTAAAATGTAAATATGTCTGTCAGAAAAAGGAAGGAGAAAATAGTCTTGAAAAATTGTAAATGATGGTGAAAATGTAACTGTAGACAAAAATAGTTCCTTTGAATTTAATTTCCTCATAAAATTCTCCCCCCAAAGAGAAGTCCCCTGGGGCTGATATACTTCTAAGACTGGAAAATTCTGGTTACCCCAGGCCCCTTTGCTAAGTCAATACTTCTCCCCATTTCATCCTTTTTAAAGCTTTTATTTAGTATTTAATTTTTCCACAGTTACACATAAAAACAATTTTTAACCTTCATTTTTAAAACTTTGAGTTCCAAATTCTCTTCCTCCCCATTGAAAATGCAAACAATTCCATATAGGTTATACATGTGTAGTCATGCAAAACATATTCATAATAATCATGTTGTGAAAGAAGACATAGACAAGAAAAAAAACTCAAGAAAAATAGAGTAAAAAAAGTACACTTCAACTGATATTCAGATACCAACAGTTATTTCTTTGGGGGATGGGTAGCATTTTTCATCACAAGTCCTTCAAAATTGTCTTGGATCATTATATTATGGACAATAGCTAGGTTATTCATAGTTGATCATTGTACAGTGTTGCTGTTACTTTGTACACAGTACGTTTCACTTTGTATCTTCTCATCAAAGTCTTTCCAGTTTTTTTCTGAGAGCATCCTGCTCATCATTTCTTATAGTACAATAATATTCCGTCATAATCACATACCGCAACTTGTCCAGCCATTCCTCAATTGATGGGCATCCTCTCAACTTCTAATTCTTTACCCCTCAGAAAAGAGTGGCTAAAAATATTTTTGTACATATAAGTCCTTTTCCTTTTTTTTTTTTTAAATCTCTTTTGGGATACAGACTTAGTACTAGTATTACTAGGTCGAAGGGTATGCATGGTTTTGTAGCCCTTTGGGCATAGTTCCAGATTGCTCTACAGAATGGTTGAACGAATCCACAATTCTACCAACAGTGCATTAAAGTCTCATTTTTCACATGTCCCCTCCAACATTTGTCATTTACCTTTTCTGTCCTATTAGACAATCTAATAGGTGTGAGGTAGTATCTTAGAATTGTTTTAATTTGCATTTCTCCCATCAATAGTGAGTTAGAGTATTTTTTTTCATATGGCTATAGATAGCTCTGATTACTTCATCTGAAGACTGATCATATCTTTTGATCATTTATCAATTGGGGAATGGCTTTTATTTTTATAAATTTGATTCAGTTCTCTATGTTTGAGAAATGAGGCCTTTATCAGAGCAACTTGCTTCAAAATTTTTTCCACACTTACTATTGCTAACTGTATTTCCCTCCCCCGTTTATTCTATTCTCTCTCTCCTTTCACCCTGTCACTCCTTAAAAGTGTTTTGCTTCTGACTTCCCCTCCCCCAATTTGCCCTCGCTTCTATCACCCTCCCCCCCTCTCTTATCCCCTTCTCCTCCTACTTTCCTGTAGGGTAAGTAAGATAGATTTTTATACCCAATTGAGTGTGTATTTATCCCCTCCTTGAGCCAATGAGAGTAAGGTTCACTCCCCTTCCTCTCCCACCTCTTCCCCTGCAAAAGCTTTTTCTTGCCTCTTTTATGTGAGATAATTTATCCCATTCTACCTCTCCCTTTCTATTTCTCCCAGTACATTCCTCTCTCACACGTTAATTTTATTTTTTAGATATCATCCCTTCATATTCAACTCACACCTGTGCCCTCTGTCTATATGCTCCTTCTAACTGCCCTCATAATGAGAAAGGTCTTATGAGTTACAAATATATGATTTCCTCCCCATTGCATCTTACTCATTTTTCATGTATACCCAGAATCCTTTGTGCTTGCTTTTGGTGACATTTATTCTTTTGGGTCTGTGGTCTTGCAGTGTAGGATCACATTTGGTAAAGCAAAATGTACTCCCATTTATGACCAAGTAAAATACAGTGATCCTTCGGGAAGAAAAAATGATACCACTAAGACAGAGTTAGTTAAGCTAGACAGATATTAAATGTTCTTTTCCCTTCTGGTATCTAGACATGGAGGTCTGAAATGATAATCAAAACATCCTGAATACCAACTTCTGGCATTTACACAAGTCTTAATTAAACTAAACAAAAGAGAAAAGTAAAAAAAAAGCATAAAAATAAACTAATTTAGGCAGAATGGCCATTTACTTACAGTCCTTTCATTGCTCTTGAAAATTTCTCTGGCTTCCTCAAATGAACATTTTTCTTCAATACATTCTCTCTCCAGAGAGCCTGATCTCAACTCTTCAAGGAAAGAGTTAGCCCTTCTTCCTCTTTTCAAGACATCGTTGGCTTCCTCCTGATTTAGGAAGACTGAGAGATAAAAATCCTATGAATGGTTTGCCTCCTTATTACACCAAAGTGCTGGAGAAATTTATTGAGGGTGTATATAATAAGCAATAATCATTATTTTTTAATTCAATTTAATCCAGTCCAATAAACACTTATTAAGCACCTACTATGTGCCAGGTGCTGTGCTAAGTGCTGGGGATACAATTAATAAAAAGAAAGACAGTGACTGCCTTCCAGGAGCTTATATTCTAACAGGGGAGATAATATACAAAGCAGGGCAGAAAGTGTGTGTGTGTGTGTGTGTGTGTGTGTGTGTATGAATGTATGTGTGTAGACTCCAGGGGTACCCAGTATGGAGGCATCTTGTTCCATGGGTTTGAAAAAGCCAGGCAGGGCAGTAGATGCAGAGTAGAGTGAACCTCAAAGCCTAGTTACTACCCTCTATAAAGGAAAGCATTTGGAGGAGTTTGGTACTCCATCCTCCAGCTCTCCAATCAGAGGGGAGAGCAAGCTAAGGAAATGAATGAATAAAAACTGAAGATATAGGGGGAGTCACTTGACCTTTCTGAGCCTCAGTTTCTTCATTTCTAAAAAATTTTTCCAAAAAAAAAGGAGAAGAGAACAAGCATTTATATGGCGCCCTACACTGTGCTAAGCAAATATTATTTCATTTGAGCCTTACAACAACCCTGCGAAGTAGGTACTATTATTAGCCCCATTTTACAGTTGAGTTAACTGAGGCAAACACAGGGTAAGTGACTTGCTCAGAATCACTCAGCTAGTAAGTGTCTGAGGCTGGATTAGATCTTAGGTCCTCCTGACTCCAGGTCCAGTGCTTTATCCATTACATACATCACTTAGTTGCTTCACATTCCCTGTCTCACAGGGTTATCATGAGGAAAGCACTATATAAATGCAAACCCCAAAGAGCTATATAAACATGAGACATTATTGTCATAGTTCTCTTCCTAAATACTCAAAAGATTCATTGGTGTTTTACATGAGTACAACTCATGTCAGTTTTGTTCGTGCTTGGTCTGTGTTGACTCAGGATAAGAGGTAAGGGTTAACTTTCCTCAGAAAATTGTAAAGAAGGCTTTGTTTGCTTTTCACCTCCCTTTATCACTCTAGCAGAATACTCTTAAGTTCCCATGGGTAGCCAGGGCCTAACTCCACAAATGAAGGCCTAAATTTTAAGAGTCTTTTCAATCAACCAATCAATAGACATTGATTATATAATTCTGATGTCTAAGGCATCATGCTAAGCACTATTCATCATGGCATAAAGGATAGAATGTTGGATTTGGTAGCAGGAAGACCTGAGTTTGAATCCTGCCTCAGACACTTATTACCTGTGTGACCCTGGGCAATTTACACCTTTGGGTCTCAACTTCCTCATCTGTAAACTGAGAGGGTTGCACTTGATGACCCTGAAGCTTTAAAGCCATTATCCTATGCAATAGAAACACTGGCAGAGATCTTCTGTATTGTATTTAACTCTTGCTCTTATAATCTTCCATCTTATTCTCTAATTTTTTTTTTTTTAGTGAGGCAATTGGGGTCAAGTGACTTGCCCAGGGTTACACAGCTAGTAAGTCTCAAGTATCTGAGGTCAGATTTGAACTCAGATCCTCCTGACTCCAAGGCTGGTGCTCTATCCACTGTGCCACCTAGCTGCCCCTAATATTTTGCAAATGAACTTAAACTCTAAGCTGTGTTGTTTTTGACTGTTTCGGTTGACATAGCAATGTGAGATAAAGTTGGAAAAATTGTTTGAGGCGCGGGTGGGATGTTTCTTAGAGGAAAGCGCATCATTTGGTCAAGCGTACTAGAGAGTCTCTCTACTTTTATTAAAATTTATTGCCTCTCTTGCTAGTTCTCTTGCTAATTCATATGCCTCCTGACATATAATGGTAGAATGAGATTGTGTTTTCCTCTGGTCTTCCTAACTAGACTGAATGCTCTCTGAGGATAAAGGGTCAAAAGTCTTCTTCAGAGTTATAGATCATTCTAATAGTCTAATATGGTTTGCATAATTGCACATGTATAACCTGCTTGCCATCTCAGGGAGGAGAAAGGGAGGGAGAAAATTTGGAAATCAAAATGTTAAAAAAAAGAATACTAAAATTGTCTTTACATGTCATTGGGAAAAATAAAATGTTATTTAAAAATAGAATTACAGGTCATTAGAGGAGGAGGAGACGATCTTAGAGATCATCAAGTTGAAGTCACTAATTTTACAGACAAGGAAGTAAAGGCACAGAAAGGTAAATGAAATAACTTGCCTTAGGTCACTCTATTCAAGACCTGGGCTAGAACTCAAACCACCTGATACCCCATCTAGTGCTATTTGTGCTACACTTTTTGTCCCTTATAACACCCAGCTCAGTGCTCAGCAAAGAGAAGATGATCGATAGATACTTGTTGACTAATTAACTTGCTAACTTTGATAAGACAGGTTGAATATAGCTTCTACCTAGGAATGCTGTGATTGGAGATGTAGCAGAGAAAGGTTTGGTGTTTGCTGTTTTCAAGGGAAGTGGAATTTAAGGCATTAACTTCACCACAGGAAATAAATGCTCCATTTATCACCTGTTAGCATACCTACAAAATAAAGGTGTGTCAGAAAGTGCACCAGAGTGGATAGAGAGTTAGTCTCAGAGTCAGGAAGATGTAGGTTCAAGTCTCCCCTTCTCTCCACATACTGGCTTTTTTTTTTAAGTAATATTTTCTTTTTCCCCCAGCTACACTTAAAAACAATTTTACATATTCATTAAAAATTTTTTTTGAGTTCTAAATTTTCTCTCCCTTCTTCACCTCCTCCCTCCCTGAGACAGTAAGTAATTTAGTATAGGTTATATATGTGCAATCATGCAAAACGCATTCTTATATTAGTCACGTTGTGAAAGAAGACACAGACCCAAAGGGGAAAAAAAACCCATGAAAAAATACAGAAAGGGAAAAATAGTATGCTTTGATTTGCATTCAGACTCCATCAATTCTTTCTTTGGAGGTGGATAGCATTTTTTATCCTGAGTCCTTTGGAATTGTCTTAGCTCTTATTGTATTGTATTGTATTGCTGAGAATAGCTGTCATTCACAGTTGATCATCATACAGTATTGCTTTTACTGTGTACAATCTTCTCCTGGTTTTGCTCATTTCACTTTGCGTCAGTTCATGTAAGTCTTTCCCACATACTGGCTTTTGGGACTTTGGGTGAGTCACTGAACTTTAGGACATCAGGCAGCTTTCTAAATCTCTGAATTGGAGAGAAAATGCTGATGTGCATTGTAGTAGGACTTTACTCATCTGGTAGTTTCCTACATCCATGAAATCACAGATCTAGTCACTACAGAGAAAGTACTTTGTAAACTTAAGGTTGAATTATTATTCCTATAGTTTCTCTTAATGAAATTTAAAGAAAAACAAAAACCACTATCTCAAGAAACAGAGAAAGTGCTTTGTAAACCTTAAGATTGAGTTATTATTCCTATAGTTTCTCTTAATGAAATTTAAAGAAAAACAAAAACCAGCATCTCAAGAAATCAAGTATGCTGGGTTATTTCCAGGCCAGAGAGACTATGGCTAGTCACTCAGAATCGACGAATCTTGTTTTCTTCCCAGATTTAGTGATGAAAGATCAGGAGCAAAGCAAGGGTTGTATTCCTTGTTATATGTTTGGTGGCTTAGGACTGACATCTCAGTTTTGGAGTAAATGACATGTAAAAAAAGGCACTAGAATTGATGACTTTTTGTTATTGTTGTTGCAGGTTTATTATGTTTTCTCATTGAAAAGTTTCCACAAATTAAAAGAGATGTCAGGTATGCCTGCTAGTCCACTAAAAGCATCATTTAAAGTTAAAAGGAAAAAAAAAGCACACCATTTGGAGTTGTTTGTTTTTCCTTTGAGGGTACATTTGGATACACATTCCTGTAAGCCAATATTCCTAGTGGGTTGACATCAATACACAGAATAAAGATTAACTTTTGGAAGGTGCTGAGGGACGGACGCCCAGAATTTGCTCCTCATGGTGGACTCTCCATTCAATCATTATATGGCAAGCAGAGAAAGAAAAAGTTTGTTAGTAATAAATATATATATATCCTCCAACATACCTGTGGCCAGAGACTGGTGAAGCACAAGCATAAAGCTGAGAAATCGGACCATGTAGGACCTGGAAACCATGATGAAGATCTCAGTGTTGGTCTCCTAACAATCTGTTGACATTCCAGACAGAACTGTTGGGCCAAAGTTCTCTACTTCAAAGGGTGTGTGTGTGTGTGTGTGTGTGTGTGTGTGTGTAAATGTGGGATAGGGGACTATCAGAGAGATGGGAGAACTATACAAACACAGAATGGAAGCTGCACTTACGAGAATGCCTATCAGCATTCTTTTAGGATATTGAGTAGCTTAATTCTAACAGTTTCTTCAAAGTGGTAAAGAAATCTTAATAAAATTATGTGGTGATATTATAGCCTAACATTAATTTAGAGGTGCAAACATCAATCAGTATTTTTCAAGGTACAAACATTAATTACTTTTTTTAGTTATTAGAATTCCAAATTCTTAGAGGTGAACACTTTTGATTTCACTTGGACCTGGATTCAAGTTCTGGTGATGTTGGCCTAGCCTTTTCAGTGGGGGATAGTCACTCACCTCTCCCACAGAGGAGTTCTTGCATGTGTAAAATATAATAAAGCATAATAAAATAAATAATTTCACTAACTAACTCAAGGGTTGGATTCTGTACCCATACCTCTGCTCACACTTGGCATAGGCTTCTAAGTGAGGTCAAAGGGAGATTTGTGTCTGTAAGAACAACTGGGTTTGGCCTAGTTCATTTGGGATTGTGAAAACTATCTTTCTACTAATGTGTGTGTCCTCATCTGTAAAATGGGAACCATAATGCTTTTATTACTTACCTCATAGGATTGTCCACATGTATTGAATAAGATAAGCTATATTATATATTAGCCTCCAAACATGCTTAGGTTTCCCCAGTCTTAAAAAAAAAGGGAGGGCTTCCTTTGATCTTTCCATTCCATCCAGCCTATCTCTCATCTTTCTTGCCTTATTCATTGCCAAACTTGTTTTATTTTTTAAAATAAATTTTTATTGATGTCTTCTGTTTTTTATGTGATCATAATTATTTCCAGTATTGTCCCCCCCAGAGAACCACCCCATATAACAAATATTATTTTTTAAAGACAAAAAAAAGAGAGAAAAAGCAGAGCAACTAGTTGATCAATACATTGAAAAAAATCTGAAAAAACATACCTGTCAGTCACATCTCCCATCTGTGTAAAGGAGAGGTTTGGAGATATTCTCTCATATCTCTTCATTCAAGTCATGCTTGATCTATATAATTTTGTTATATTCACTTGTGGTTTGTGTGTGTGTGTGTGTGTGTGTGTGTGTGTATGTGGTTGGTTTTTTTTCCATTTTTGTTTTCTTGGTCCTGCTTACTTCACTCTGTATCAGTTCATAGAGATCTTTCCATATTTCTCTGTATTCATCACATACATAATTTCTTACAACACAGTAATATTCCATTACATTCATGTACCACAGTTTGTTTAGCCATTCCCCAATTGATGGATATCTACTTTGTTTCCAATTCTTTGCCATCACAAAAAGTGTTGCTATAAATATTTTGGTATATGTGGGTATATGCGTATGTCATTCTTATTGATGGCTTCCTTTGTATATAAGCCCCATAATGGAGTCTCTGGTTCAAAGGATGTGGACATTTTAGTACCTTTATTTACAATTCCAAATTGCTTTCCATTATACCATTTCACAGCCCCAGCAACAATGTATTAGTGTAGCCTTTCTACAAATCCTCCAATGTTGACAGTTGCCATTTTTTTGTCATTTTTTTGTGAGATGAAACCCCAAGGTGGTTTTGATTTTCATTTCTCTTGTTAGTGATTTGGAGCATTCTTTCACCTGTAAATACTTTGTGAATTCTTTTGACAACTGTTTGTTTACATCCTTTGACCACTAATGACCACTGGGGAATATCTATCAGTCATATACTTGTGTGTATGCGTATATGTGTATACATATATTTGCTTCCATATAGATGTAGTTTAAACATGTTGGATAGCAAGCCCTTATTAGAGAAATCTGATGCAAAGATTTTTTCCTCATTCAGATACTTTTCTTCTTATCTTAGTGTATTTATATTGTCCATGCAAAAATTTTTTTGGTTTCATGTAATCAAAATTATCTATTTTATCTTTTGTAATTACCTCTTTCTCTTGTTTGGTGAAGAATATATCTCTTACCCATGGCTGTGAGATGCATATGATCATCTTCACTTCTAATTTTTTTTATAACATGATCTTTAACATTAAGATCATGTATCCATTTAGAAAGTATTGTAGAATATGATATAAAATGTTGGTATAAGCATCATTTCTATCAGATTATTTTCCAGTTTTCCCAGTAGTTTTTTTTTTTAATCAAATAAGGATTTTTTCATAGGTAATTGCTTTTTTCCACTTTATCAAACATTGGATTATTGACTTTCATTATTTCTAATTTTTCCTTGTCTAGTCTGTTCCATTGATCTGTCTCTCTATTCTTTAACCAATAGCACACGGTTTTGATGACTGCTACTTTATAATATAGTGTGAGATCTAGAAGTACTATACTTCCTTTGTCTCTACCTCTTTTTATAAATTCCTTTAATATTCTAGAGCTTTTGTTTTTCCAAATCAGTTTGGTTATTATTTTATCAAGTTATAACATATCCCCTTGGTAATTTGATTGGCATAACATTAAAAGTGTACATTAACACTTGAAAACATAGAAATAAACAGAGACTTTCTTAAAATAAGTAGTGTCTATCAAAGAGCAAGCATGATATGTAATGGGGATAAATTTTAATGGGGATAGAAGCCTTCCCAATGAAATCAAGAATGAAACAAAGATGTTCATTATTGCCACTGTTATTCAACATTGTATTAAAAATGCTAACTACAGCAATAAGACAAGAAAAAGAAATGGAAGGAATAAGAATAAGCAACGAGGAAACAAAACTATCACTCTTTGCAGATAATATGATTAGAGAACCCCAGAGAATCATCTAAAAAGCTAGTTGAAGCAATAAACGACTTTAGGAAAGTTGTAGGGTGTAAGATAAACCCACATAAATAATTAGCATTTTTATATATTACAAACAAAACAGCAGGAATAGATAGAGAAATTCTATTTAAAATAACTGCATATAAGCATGCTGATGGCAGTGACATTGTCTTGTACCTCTATTTCCCCAGTGCCTATCAACTGTTCCCTGCAATAGTAGGTATTAGATAAATTAATGTTTGTCAAAATATTAATTGTACATTTTTTGTTGAAGTGCTTGAAGATGCTTGAAGTCTGTGCTAAGTACTTTTTAACAGTTTGTCTTTTCTTTAAAAATCTTATTTATGTTTTTAATTTGCACTCTGCAGAAAGGATTGAATAAAGGTAAATTTCAACTGTGAAAAAAAATAAAATAGCTGTAGACGGTATAAAATACTTGGGAGTCTACCTACCAAGACAAATCCAGGACTTTGTAAACATAATTACAAAACACTTTTCACACAAATAAAGACAGATCTAAACAACTGTAGAAATATTAATTGTTCATGGGTGGGCTGAGCCAATAAAATAAAAATGATACTTCTACCTAAATTAATTTACTTATTCAGTGCCACACCAATCAATTACCAAAGAATTGTTCTGTAGAGCTAGAAAAAAATAATAATATTGATCTAGAAGAACAAAAGGTCAAGAAAATTGAGAAAATCAATGTAAAAAAATGCAAAGGAAGATGGCCTAGCAGTACCAGATTTTAAACTATATTATAAAGTAGTAATCATCAAAATCTGGTACTGGCTAAGAAATAGAGTAGTGGATCAGTGGAATAGATTAGGTATACAATGTACAGTAATAACCAACCTAGTAGCCTGGTGTTTGACAAGCCTAAAGATCTATTCTTTTGGGGCAAAAACTCATTATTTGATAATAATTGCTGGGGAAACTGGAAAGCAGTGTGGCAGAAATAAGGCATAGATTGATATCCCACACTTATACCAAAAAAAGGTCAAAATATGAGTTAGACATAAAAGAGTGATATAAGCAAATTAGGGGTCATGGACAATTTTAGGGGTCATCAGACAATTTGTCTGATCTATGGATACAGTAAGAGTTTATTAGCAAAATAAGATATAGGATCGTGGACAATAAAATGCATAATTTTGATTACATGAAATGAAAAGTTTTTTGCACAAACACAATGAATGCAGTCAATTAAAAGGAAAGCAGGAAACTGGGGGAAAAATACAACAGTTTTCTCTGATAAAGTTATCATTTCTCAAATACATAGGAAACTGAGCCAAATTTACAAAAATAAGAGCCATTTCCCAATTGATAAATGGTCAAAGGATATGAACAGGTAGTTTTCATAAGGAATTAAAACTATCTATAGTCATATAAAAATACTCTAAATCACTGTTGATTAGAGAAAAGCAAATTAAAACAACTCTAAGGTATTACCTCACACCTATCAGATTGGGTAACATGACAAAAAAAAGACAAATGACAAATGCTGAGGAAGGAATGTGAAAAAATAGAGACACTAATGCATTGTTGATAGAATCCAACCATTCTGGAGAACAATTTGAAACTATGCTCAAAGGGTTGTAAAAGTGTGTGTACCCTTTGACCCAGTAATACCACTACCAGGTCTATATCCCAAAGAGATCAAAGGAAAAGGACCTATGTGTACAAAAATATTTATAGTGCCTCTTTTTATGGTGGCAAAGAATTGAAAATTCAGGATATGCCCATCAATTGGAGAATGATTGAACAAGTTGTCATATATGGTTGTGACAGAATACTATCGTGATATAAGAAATGATGAGGGGGATAGTTTCAGAAAAACCTGGGAAGGCTTATGTGAACTGATACAAAATGAAGTGAACAGAACCAGGAGAACATTGTACATAGTAACAATAATATTGTAAGAATGATCAACTGTGAAAGACTTAGCTTCTCAAGGCAATGATCCAAGATAATTCCAAGGGATCCATGATGAAAAATGCAATCCACCTCCAGAGAGAGAACGGAAGAATTCTGAGTCCAGTTTGAAATATACTTTTTTCCACTTTATTTTTTTCACTTTTTGGGGGAGCAACATGATTAATATGAAAATGTTTTGCATAACTTTCATGTATAATAAATA